ATACTTTGTAGAATAAAGTCACCCGGAAAAAAAAAAATTTACTCCAAGCCCAACTTAAATGAAAATGCTAGATAACCTAAATTGCTATAACAATTCTCTCAGATCAATACATATGGCGTAATCCAAGCTAATTGCGTACTTGACTTGGAATCCTTTTTCTTTTTTTAAACCATTGGCAAAAGGATCAACCTACAATGGAATAAGATTCAATGGATGGATGCAAGATGGCGACATGCTACAGCGAGACAAGGTTAGCGTTTTGGACTTACCCTATAGAATTTCATTAACGCAAAGACATCCATGACTTACTTGACAGAAGCCTCCAAGCTAAATTTAGCTTACCATTTACAATGCAACATTATAGAGAACAATGTTTTAGAAAGCATTAGGCAGATTCTTAAGCAACACGAAGGCGTTTTTCGGCGTTCTATTTTTTCAGGGTGATTGTTTACGCCGCGGCTAAAAGTATGAGGTTTACAACTCTTCGAGGCAAAGAGGAAAGGTAAGGGGAGACACCGGAGATTCAAAACGCTATGCTCGGCCTTTTTTTTTCTAAAACATATTTGGATATCAAGTTTTATGCAATCAATTCTCAACAACACGTTCTCTTCATCCAGTGCTATGCTTAAGAGGGCAACATGCCCATTTTTTATGCGATGCAGCCTGCTCGAGCAGCCCATGCTCGCCTAGGCTCTCTCAACGCTTGCACAGGCGGCATGGGAACCATTCAGGCCAAGGCAAGCGTCTAGGCAGATTTTTAGAACGATGACGGAGAACAGAACCCACTGCATAAGTTAGCAAGCTCAAAATAACATAAAGGCATCAGCATGTATAATCAACATCACAAGGACATGCAGCAGATGGAAACTTCATTCATCATTCAAGAATTATTAGCGTTCAAGAATTATTAGCCGAAAAAAACCCAACGAACATCGGTTTTACATCTCAAACCTCACATTATTCTCTCCCAAATCGAACCGATGGCAATAGAAATGATCAGTAAACTTACTCAAGTTGAGTTACTCCCAACTCCCCATTCACCAACCCCTCCTCACCCCCATTCTCGAGTTTGGCCTTCTCCTCCTCCTCTTCGACCACCTCCGAAACGAACTTAATCAACGAGCAAAGCCCTCCAAGGAAATT